CATGCATGCATGCCTACATACATACAGAACCTTCAAGGGTTTCGGAGTAATTGAGACGTTGGCCTGAAATATTGGATTCTGCAAAGCTCTGCTAAGTCCCGGGCTTGCCGTGATCTGAGGTTAAAGTTTTAGAACTGTAGATTCGAAAGATGCGCAAAAACCTACTACGACCCATGATGTTCCTTTCTGTCTTGTAGTTAATGGTTCTGACTTGTATACGATGACTATAACTGTATAACTAACTTCGGACCCCCAAACAGCCCGAAAGCCCAGAACTCAGGTCCCTGCATTCAAAGCGTGATACATGCTCAATACATTCCCAATACCCTTCTACAGCCCATCTAAACCCTCGTAAAGCTTGAAACTCACCGAATAGCTGCGAAAAGCCAACCCTTTAAAACTCTTGTAGACACAATATACAACCCAACGAGGCCCTTCAAAAGCCTAAGGAACCCAAAAAACAACCCTGTAAATCCATACTACAACCCTTGAAGCCCCCCTAAGAACCCTTGCAAGATGCTTTTCCAGCTCTTTCAAAAAACCCTGCATCCGGAGGGCAGGGACTCCTGGCCGAGGTCCAAGCCCAGAGATTCGGCCAGGTCCTATGCGGATGATACGGATTTGGGCTTAGGGCTCGGTTTAGGGTTTAGGGTTAGAGGTTTAGGGCTTAAGGGCTAAAGGTTTAGGGTTGAGGGCTTATAGGGTTTTAAGGATTCATTGAAAAGTTCTTCTGGCGTTTAGGGCCTGGGGCTTAGGATTAGGGTCTATAGTGCTTAGGTCTTCGGGTTGAGGTCCTTTACTTTACATGGGTTCTTTTCAAGATTCCCTTAAAGCGTTCCTTTTGGGGTTCCTATACCGCTCTAAACCCTAAAAAAGCCACAAAGCCCTAAAGACTAAACCCTAAACCCTAAAAGTGCATTTGGCTCGGGACATTGGTACTCTCGGAACGTTGTAGGCCCTATGTTTTAGGTTTTGGGTTTAGGGCTTAGGGTTTAGCGTTTAGGGTTTAGTGGTTTGGGGTTTAGGGTTTAGGGAATCTAATGATCCTCAGCCCTAAACGCTTCTTCTCTTTGTCATCTAAAGTCTGCACTGCTACTACAAGTACTACAGTTGCTGCACGTACTACAAGTACTACACGTACTACACGTACTACGCAGAGGACTCTTAGTGCTTTAATGGCACCGTGATATGACCTCAATATCGAGTCCGACGCCTTTCCTTGCCTAGCGAGCTCATAAGCCTTAAACTGTAGTTCAAGATACCCCAAACCTCACACTCACAGCCAAAAACACGAAACCGTGGAGCCATAAACCCAAAATCAGACTGAACACCTTGGGGGCCAACTCCCTATATCTTACTTAAACGGCATGCATGCTTGTATATAGATATATATATATATGCATGCTTGCAGCCATAAACTGCCATAAACAAGTAAGTAATTCTGATTTACCAGTACCTAATTATACCTGTCTCTTGTTGTAGTCACGTCTCTTGTCTATGTGCTGTTACGAAAAGTCCTCCCCTTAACGCGAACCCTTTAAAGAAATGAAAACCTACAGAACCCGATAAAACGGAATAGAAACACTGTAACACCCTATAAAACCATGCACAACCAGATAAAACCCGATAAAACCATATAGCCCCCTATAAATTCCATGAAGACCCTGTGCAATGCTGCGTCGGCGTCCTTGAGAGTCCAGGCCACAGAGCTGTTGTTGAGGCCCACGGTCAGCCTGGGTTAGTTAAGGCATGCAATTTAAGCTACCATAATAAGGAAAACATAGGAAGTCCCCATGAGCTCCCATAGCTCCCTAGTATGGTAACTATTGTCTACCAAAAAATCCCCTAAACCATAAACCCTAAACCCAAAACCCATGGTAGCCAAAGTAAAGCTCCTTCGCAAGAGCCCAGGAGCCAGAGGCAGCAGTTGCATGCGAAGAGGGCATAGTGCCAGGTCCTGGTCTCTCTGCTTCAAAGACCAGGCCCCAAAAAGTTCAAACGTTTTAGGATGGACCTAATATATAACAACCAAGCCGCAAAAAGTTCAAACTTTTTGGGATGGACCTAATATGTAAGGCGAAAAAAAGTTCAAAGTTCTCCCATTGGCTATCTAAGTGGTCTGTCTGTCGGGTCTCAAGAAAGCGTGGGCCTACAGGGGTTCCTCAAGGGGGATCCTAAACCCTAAACCCTAAACCCTAAAACCCTAAGCCCTAAAGGGATCCTACAAGGGGTTCCTATTCAGGAGTTTATAGGGAGGCAAGCCGTTACAAACGAACCCGGAACCTTAAACCAAAAACCATTGGATTAGAGCCTAGGGTTGTTTAGAAATTTAAGGACTTAGGGTTTAGGGTTTAGGGTTAGAGCCTGGGCTTGTTTAGGGATTTAAGGGCTCTCACCTGCGGCTTCAGGGAGCCTGGGCTGAAAGAAGGGGCTTAGACTTCGAGTTTACGGCCTTCAGGGATTTGAGGGTTTAGGGTTTAGGGTTATGGGGGACAATGTTTCCTGGACTTGCTTGTGTTTCATAAACAAGGGCTAATGGGTTGAGGATTCAATGACTGGTTTCTTAATTTAGCACTCAATAAGGCAAATTAATTATTCACCGTACATCCCGATTGATTATGGTAACTTAAGTTAAGTTCCATAACAAGAACCAAATTGCTGTCAAGATGCTTAAAATATTAAAACCCGATGCCCTAAACCCTAACACTCTTTGGGTCTGCGCTTTACGCTTGCGGTTTGGGGGAACTGGGGGCTTGGGGTTTTGGGGCCTTGGGCGCTCAGTTTGGTTTGGGGTTTAGGGTTATTCTCGTCAGAAAGGTGGGAAAATGTGGCTGAGTGCTTTAGAAGGCTACAGGGCTGTTCAGGGATCAAGGTTTGGTGTTATTCTCAGATGACATCCTGGCTCGGCCAGGGAAGATTGCAACCTGGCAGCCGCTGAAAGCAAAGGGTGTAGGGGTTTAGGGTTTAGGGTTTAGGGGTTAAGGGTTTAGGGTTTAGGTATGATGAAGTTACGTTTTGTCTTGTTCAACTTAACTATACAGGGCCTCGATAGATTCTAACGGTGCTCCGTCGGATTTCCAGAATTTAACATTATCGCTCTATATACAACAAACTCTCTT